ATATTAATATTTTAAATTATAATTAAAAGTATTCAAAATTGTTAACAATCCAAATTATAACAATATTAAATTTGACATGATATGAGATGGTAAAATTTTTTATTTTTCATACTTATTATATGTTTATTATATTATTTAGGTGCACAGGATTTTGGCGTTTTTGTAAACGATACGATTAAAAATTTTCTCATATCGTTTTCGGGTTTCTATGTCTTCTATCGGGCGCGGGTGGGGACGAAGATTCTAATATTTAAAAAAAATAGCGAAACAGTTGCTAAGTCTGAATACTCGCGCTATATTTAGAAAATTATTAAATTTTGTTTGAAATATTATTGTGGCACGTAAGATTTGTAGGAATACGAACTCAATTCAAATATTTTACGCATTGGTTTCTCTCCCTCTCCTCCTACCAACCAAGTCATAATTTATGCTGTAATGTTCGCCTTTTGCAGAGTTTTTGTGTGTTTAAAGTACACTGAAACTGTTTAAACTATGTGATTTAAACTTAAAATTAATCCACGATTATTTTGTTTGTGTCTTGATATAATACTAATAATAGTATATGATAGTTACCGAATAGGTAACGATAAATAATAATCGTAAAATATAATATATACATAAAAAAAGATACGTACCTATTGGCTAACTAACACTTGCCACTTGCTGCCGCTACTACGTTAATATATATATTATATATACATCGTATTTTCGTAGGTCGAAAAAAATTTTAACTTGGGAGTTCTTAAATGTACAGATAAATTACATAGAATTGAAGTAAGTTAGACCAACCAAACATTACTGTTCCACAATAAGTAGGTACATAGAAAGTCAAAATCATCATTTTTTCATCATGTCGCACACACATTTTCAATGAAAAAAGTTCTAAAACAACCTTATTAATTTCATATGTGCTTTGAAATGTAAATTAAAATGTTGTCTTTAGACTATTGTTTCGATAGTATAGGTACCTATTATGCCTTGAATCAAATGTGTATGTCACTTATTATATTCTGAATTTGGAATAAAATTCTTTAGTGCGCAAAATCATTAAATTCAGCGCACTGTTACACTACGTTGACTTCTGGCTAGTGCATGCAACCTACAAATATTTTTAAATCTCGTATTATACGTATACTGAAACAGAATAGAGAATTCATTTCTAAAATTTCTTTTTTAAAAATGTAGATGCATTTGATAAAAGTATTTATCTAAATTCTAAAGTAATATACTATGTAGAACTTACCTAAATTTCGACGAGTACCCAATTTCGTCTCATCAGTCTTCACCATCACTATACTATAGTTTTATCTAAAATCTTAACGCTACATTATTATTTACAAAAATGTTGTATTCTGATACAGTTTTATTGTGAATTCAGAGATAGAATTTAGGTAAATATAGTTATGCGGGCGGTTTCAACAACAATCCAGTGGCGTATCTGCGGAGGGAGGGGCAATGGGCTGATCCCTCGAGAGTTGGACTTTGCAGGTTTCATCCTATGCATGTATAACTGTATCTTTAATAATAAAATTTATTGTCAAATTACCATAAGAAGAAAATAAAAATGAATAATATTGCTGTTGAAAATAAAATGTATTAAGAGTTTTAAATTTACTCGTCCCTCCTCTCCCAACCGAGCTTCAGATATAGGCCACAATTCATAAACGGTTGGTAAAAACTTTAAGAGCAAAATTATTTTTTTATTTATCAAACATATTATACATAGATAAATATAAAAAATACGTCAAAAAAAATTTAACACTATTCGAAATAATAAGAGTATGATACTTTATGTGGTGTGCCGTTAAAAATATAATCACCATAAAAATATTATAATATTATAAAGAGCTGTCCTGTAGTTAAGGCTATTATATAATGGCCACGACAATGAATAATAATAATAATAATATGATGCTTTAATTCGACGCGTAGGTACAGTTTATGAACTCGCGCACAAATTTCAGCGTTATTCGCACCTTCTAACCTATTATGTATTTATGTGCCAGCGTATTTTAGTTAGTTAGTCTCCGTCTGTGAATTTATAATACACTCTACAGGTTGGCGACGACGACGAGACGAACCTGTCGATGCAATATTGGGACCAATATTATAGCTATACGTCATTGGACTATTAGAGTATATGCGCCTAATCTGCAGCTAACCATATATACAGGGCGATTCGCCATTTTTACAAGCATGCTCGCCACATTTTATCATTATTCGATGTATAATGCTGTAGTAATTCGAAATCTGATTTTTTTAAATATATACTTAAAGATCGTTTTAAAAGCTTAAGATCACTACTCGTACTAGGTACTAATTAAGTAGCGTCATGTGTGGATACAAATTGACCATGATAATTTGAAGATTTTAGTCACTTAGGTATATTAAACTAACGGAATTATGACTAATTTCATTAGTATAAATATTTTAAAAACTGAGAAACCACTCAAACGAATATTGAATTTAAACTAATCAATATCAAAAAAAAAAGCGGGTAAGTCGTGGATGTCTTTCTGCTGTACAGTAGGTTACAAGTGGGTTACTGTAATGGATGGAATTAAACTTGAATCCAATGATATTATATAATTGTATACGAAAAACGATTCTGAGCGGAGATGGTTTATCTGTCTAGGATATATTATAGATTATTAAAAAATTTCAAATCTTAGAAAGAAATTTTTTTATGAATTTCTAGCTTAAAATAATTTGAACATAGCCGTAATTTTTGAGTATTTAGTCAAAATTTGAACTTTAAATGCTTATAAACAAAATTATCTCTCTAAAGTATCAGCTCATGAACATTACCTTTCAGAAGAAATGCTACACTTGATACTTTTGAGCAAGTTTAGAGGGGGAAAAAGTGTTTACAAAATAAAAAATAAAAATAAATAAACATCAATGTAAAACCAATAGGTATACATTCCTCGCTTCGCTCAGAATCTAAAATAAATAATCACTAAACAATGTACAGTAAAAAAGTGTTCTCGTTTGAAAAATATAAATTTGTATCGCCATAAAAAAAAATATAGATCATTTTAATAACTTTATTATTAAAGGAATACAAGGGGTAGAACATGCTTAGGCGGATTACTTTGTATATATAGTTCACTGCATTATAATGTACTTACGTGACAAAGAAACATTTTTTGCTTAAAAATCATACAATTAATTATTTGTCTCTTATTATATTATTCACGAGAATTCGTTTTATAACGTACCTATCCAATGTAAACAGAAGAAGAACAAGACAATAATACAAATCTTTTAGTGTATAGATACATTTTTTGTTGTTCGGATACCGCGTCATTTTTATATTATTATATTTGAAAGGACGTCGTTTATACAAACAACACACAATATTAAATATAAACATTTTTCATAAAGACGGAGCAGCACGTAATACATAAAATATTTCACGTTTATATTTATACCTATACCTATCTGCTGGTGCAGCTGCTGCGATATTATTGCGTTATCATTTATTATTCTTTGACTAACCCTCTTCGGGTATTTACAGATGAATACTACAACCTACAGCTTCCCTTTGAAATTGTTTTTTCTTCACGTACACCTTGTGAACAATTTTTGTGCTAATGCTTTGTTTCAAATAATAATATATATAAGACATAAACGCCTTTTTATCATAATATTATCAAACATAATAAATAAATGCACGTTATTACAAAAAAAGCAGAATTTTTTTTCAACTGCACAATTACAATTTATATAATTTGAAGGGAATTTGTTCTCCACAAACTCCCTATAACAACGTCATGTTAAAACAATTATTTTAAGCCGGTAGGTCAGTAACCTGCTATTGTAAACAGTGACCAATAAGTTCTGTTTTAATTTACGTGTTAAGTATGCTATTTATGAATATAGATTTTAGATAACTATAACTTTAGTTAATATAGAATGTTGAATAAAAATAATATGTCGACTGACGACGAGTCTCAGTGGGATATATTATCACTTATCTTTCTTTGAAACGTATAATCACAAATAAAATAGAAATCGAAAAAAAGTTGATATGCCATTTCTATATAGTTTTTAGTAATTAAATATAGAGTCAGAGACCGAAGGTGGTCACTGATGTTTGTAATATAGTATTATAGTCGATAACAATACTTGATAGTCATCATAGTTGCTAGGAATCCTTAAAAAATAAAAGTTATATAGACACAATAAAGTTAAAAATAGGGGAGGGGGAGACTATAGTCMGTCAAACAAAGCTATATTAATTTAAAATAACCCATATGGACATCTATATCAATAAAGAGATATTTTTTCCTTTGGATGATAGACTAAATCGTAATCAGGGAGAAAAACACACTGTGCCACGTATAGTTATGCCACTGGTTATAATAATTAAATAATTACCAAAAAGGTAAACGAAAACATTTAAAACAGCCGCTCAGCGCTGTCAACAATCAACATCTCTATTCTCATCTGTTATAAAGTAGAATAAACTATTTTTAATACTTTACATATTGTGTAGGTATATTTTATAATCCCTGCTGCACAATAATTATTGTTAGTGTCATACACCTATACTTGCATTTTACAACAAACTCTGAAAAAATATAGAGTAATATTTCAATGTTGCGTTTTAAAATCCATCTATAATAGGTATAAATCAAATTATTATTTTTTAAATTTAACCATTGAATAGGTATGTAATAAGTGTAAAGTGACTATTCAAATTTCAACGAATAAATATGTTTAATAATTTGTGGACATGTCATGTCATTGTCMTAAAAAAACTATTTCGACACATGACACAGCTATTTTGTATTTACTTACTATATTTATGCAAGTGATATTTCACAATAAGCAAATCGATCAGCGAAATTTAAACCAATATGTGTAGAAGGAGGAGTCCAGTTATATCACTTCATAAATTCTAAAACATACGTCTTAAGTGAAAACATAGATTATACGAGTAATATAAATTTTTTATTATCATTATGATTTGTCCATAAATAATATTATTTACATAATAATATATTGTATTTCATATTTTAATAAACATTGACCTCTTTCAGCCCCATTGTGACGGCTTTTCTCCAAAGCCGAAATTTTGCCAAGTCCTTTCGAGTTATGATACCGACCACCTAAAAAAAAAAAGCACGATTTATAATTCATTAATTTTTGGTTGTTTCTTGTTCAGTTCAATATTTATTAACTATAAAAATATATTTATCGATTTTCCAGATTGTTTATTTTATGGATAGTATTTATTAAATAATGTCAGAAATATAATAGATAATAATCTAATGATTTTGGTAGCGGAAATTTTAAATATTACCTAAATACTAGTTAAAATGCATTTCCTTCGTATAAATATAATTAAAATATATTTTTTACACCATTTTAGGATAGGCTGTTGATGGAAGTCTGCAGAATATTCTATAAAACTGTACTAGCAACAAAAAATGTATTGACCAACCACGGGCGTTTATAATTGGAATAAAATTACGCCTAATCGACAGTAAAAGTTCACTTTGTTACGGCTATGCATTATTAATGCATAAGGTGCCTTCTAGCTAAATACTTATGACAAGCTCTAAAACGACGATGACGTCTTAATAAGAGCTTATCACAAACTGTGTCGACGACCGACACAGCCTACTGCAGTTTATCGCGCCTTGTACCATACCTTGTAAGTATTTACCGTAAATAATATGTAATATGCATACAGGATGTCTCAGAAAGATCTAGAAAAAAAAACTTATGCTAATTAAACATATGATAAAAATTGTTAATATTGTATAATAAGTAAATAATTTAAGAAATATAATCATATTAGCAATTTCTCTAATTAAAAAAAAATTATTTCGTTCCAGATTAATTTAACTAACAAATATTGAATTTAAAACAAAAACTCTAAAAAATTAACTTCTTGACTTAAATTAATTTTTTTACCATCAAAATTGTTCTTATAATCAGATTCACAAATAGGCTATTTTTAATTTATCCAAAACATTTTTACCAATTTTTAAGTTTTTATTTTCAGTATTAAAAAATAAAAATAAATAATAGCAAACATGTAGCGTTAGTATTTATGAGTTTTATAAAAAAAAAAATTTAAATATTGCATAGGTACAACAAAAGTTATTCCATATATCAGATCATCGCGAGACACCTGTATATTATTATATTATACGGTTTTAATCTACCTACCAACCGCGTCATGTTTTTATACGAACCGATGCGACGCCACAAACAATAACTCATAATTATTATCATGGTAAATAATCTACAAAAGTGAATTTAACAAATTATTACGTAACGCACTTATAACGTCGCGGAGTGTTTCGGGCTGAGTTTTCCGTTTGGAATAAAGGGCGCATAATACTTGTCGGGTAGTAATAGTATAGTCGTTGAATGCGCACAAGTTTTTCTCCTGCAAGAGGATAGAGGTGACCTACACCGTARTACCGCACCGTTTCCAGTAATCGTGAACCGAGAAAATTATTTATAGTATGTTAATCTCCGTTGCAGTATTTTGTTTTTAAATTGCTGTTCGTGTCAATTTGTTCGATGTAAACCATTCTGGAAAGTTTTCATAAATATAAGTAGCGTACGGGAATTTTTTTCTGCGGTATAAGTCCGTTATGCCATCCTTAATCATAAACACGCAACATAATATTACACATTCATTATAGACTATAGTTATTACTTATTAGGTATACTGCAGCTATATAGACTCATGATATTATAGAATAGATGCCTACTGTTTTGCAATAGTAAACATATTTATTTACCCTGATCTTGCAGGGTTTTGACTCGCATATTGTGTATCTATAACACGTTTGACGTTTTTAACACATATAATATACGTATAGGTAATAGGTATGTACAATAAGTAAATCTCTGCCAATATTCATTACACAAAGAGTCATCCCTATGCGAATGTCAAAAATACGAAGACCACAAAAATAACATCATATTTCACGACAGATCGGAGAAGCACTAGCGTCTAGGACCAAACTTACAATTGACCATCAACATCATAAAATTTATAAAAGAAATACAATTATATAACTTAATTTAAAGCCATTACAATGTAACCATATTTATATGTTAACTGTTAACTAGTTTTAAGTAAACGTCAAACTAATGTCCCGAGCAGCCGATGTTTGTTTGTTTATTAAGATCAATAAAATAATAATAATAATAATAAGTCAACACTATGAGTACTACTCGTATAAATGCGGGAAGATTACATAAGAGCCAATAATTTATGTTGTCCAATATTATATGCGATTTTTATGATGAGAACAAATAATTTATAAATATTCTTTGTTTAATGTGTTAGGTGTATATTAATATCTCACGTAAAAAAATAACCAAAATTTAGTTATATAATTTGATTTTGSAATTAATATTTTAGTTCCTTAATCACTTAAGGACTTAGAATAAAAGTAAATATTACTCACCTATTAAATTATTCTAGAGTTAATTAATAACGAAGAGAAAAAGTTAACTAAACTGTGCGGTCTAGGGACGCAAGATTATTACAAGGAGCGCTAAAGTACACACTCATTAAGGGGTTTTAACAAAAATATTACCAAAACATAAAATCGAGAGGGAAATAACATCAAGTATTTTGTCGAAGGGAACATTAACACATCTACTTAACTAAATTAAATGTTGAAAACAAAACTAATTCATTTAATCATTCGTGCTTTTATGCTAGACGAACAAAGGCGAAAGTTCAGAAAAGTGAAATAAGCTCTTTGAATGAATAATTAACGAACAAACTGATAATAATAATAATATAGAAGCATTTGGTTTCCACGTATATTCTACAAACATAACTCTTCGTGAATAATAGTTATAATCCAATTCGGGCGGAATAAGGCCAAGACGCAAAAAACAAAACAAAAACAAAAATTTGATCACTTATTCAGTTATAGATGCGAACATCACAACATAATAATAAAAACATTAAAAACAATTTATCCTGCTATATATTAACATATATTATTATTTTCGTCATACCTCGTTAGTGTTGTTGATAACAACAATGTGCCGCAATCCCAGAGTACGAAACAATCTAAAAGTCCTTGGCAAACTTGTTTCCTAGAATAAAATTTGAAAAAAAACCGAAATTAAAGGTAATGTAAATTGTATAATATATAAAAATGTAAGTAGTATACATAAAGTAATATATATACAGTACAATTTAAAATTTAAACATCTTTTAAAGTCATAATTCGTAAGTATAAGTCGATTTGCTATTAATAATTAGACTTTGGCTGTCGAATACAAAACATTATATTCACACTTCAATATTTAGAGTAAAGATTACATATTATTAAAATATTATTAACCGACGGCCAAATATTTAAAAAATCGAATAAATTACGAGCTCAAGGACCCGCGAAATTTGTTTTCGTTGTCGAATAAAATCTTTTCAATATTTCGTCTGCTAAACGTCCCGTTTTTCAATCTACTCTAAGCTCTGCGAAAAAAATATTAATAATATGTTTAGTTATTAATGGCACTTATAGTTATGCAGGCAGTTGGTCTAGTTGTTCGTGTCAAATCGATTATCCGGTACATGCCATTTTGTAAAACCGTGCAGATTTGGGTTAATTGGAATTTATATTTCATAAATTGACTTATTAGTTATTAGTTGTTACGAATGGTTGAAAATAAACCACCGTCCACCACTGTCGAAAACGACATAAATAACGATCGATTTATGGTTGCATAACGAATGATTGTATCAATTTATATCTCGGAAACACTCGCAATATTATGTCACATAATCTATATCCGGTGTGCTAACTATACATGTAAGTGGAAAATATGAATTTATATTAAAGTTTAGTATTAATAATAAGAATAATAGGTAGGTATATAATATGTACAATAATTAAATTATTTCCATTATTTGTACTTTTTACCATTTTATACTACCTACATATTTGACGATGCCTTCAGGTTTTAAACTTTTTAATGGCGATATCTTGTTTCTTAACTTATACCATGGCGTCCATGGACAACAGAGGAAATTACTTCTTCAAAATTGTTTAAGTTCAAGTAGCTATATAATGTGGGGAAAATGATTAACCAATAATATTTAAAGTTTCAATAATGGGTCGAACGATTTATCAGCAATTTATTGATTGATTCGTGTGATTTTATATGTATTGCAAATATTTTCTGGCACTTTTACGACCTAAATTAACATTTATTGATTCAAAATATCAAAATAATAGCGTGTGAATAAGTAAAAACAGTAGTGATATAAATCGATTAAAATTAATTAAATCATTTATAAAAATGGGTGTAATAATAATAATACAGGTACATGATAAAAAGTGTTCAAATCTCCAAAAAAATTAACATTTTTTGAATTCCAATATAAAATTACGAAAATCAAGTCTTCAATTTTAACTTCGAGTATATAAAAGGTTGTTATATAATATAATATTGAATTACATTTTTTAGTCTTTAATAATGAAAAAAAATTAACGAACGAAACAATTTTAAAATTTAAGTGATATTATAAAACATTAATATTTGTTGAAAATGTCAAGTTTATAAGGTTTTATTATTTTCTGAGTTACAACAAAAGACGAATTGATTTTTTCAAAGCTGATGTAGCCCGTGTAGCGTAAGTATTTGTTTTTTCTTAGGTTTTTTTTAGTTTTTCCAATTATTAAGAAAAGCACTAGGAATTTCTAACTTTTGACTTCTTCAGAAACCATTCTAAATTTTGAAGTTTGAAGCAATTTTCCTACATCTTAAAGTGTCTCGTCACACGTCGGACATAAAAAAAAACCCAAACGAGTAGCTAGCTTTTTTGTATAAGTTGTTAAGGTGATGTAGTAGTTAACGAGGTATTTCGTCATTGAATAGGTCATTTTCCAAAATGGGATACTAAATCTGAATTCAATGATAGATCCATTGTAAACGATTCTGAAGTATAAAAACTGAACGATGACGGTCTGTCAGCCTAAATACTTTTAAGACATTTTTTTTTTTTTGTAAGAACCCGTGGCAACATAGGCCATTGGGTGTGGGGTGGTACGGTAGGGGTTATTTTTGTATGTTTGTTTGTAGGTTTTTAAGTGGGCAGGGTTGTAACACGTGTTTGTGTATGTGTGGCAAGGATATGTTGCTAAAAATCCCCGGTGGTCACCCATCCGGGAGCTAGCAACTGCGGGCGATACGTACGCTCAGTGCGTTTCCGCAGATTGAGCGTACGACCGCGCCTCATCAAGCCACTTAAGACATTTTATTATGTATATTGACATCAGTAATTAGTTAGTAATTTAAAACAAAAAATCTGTTGAAAAAAAAAAAATAAATAAATAAAAAAAAAAAATGGTTGGTTGAACTTTAACCATTTTTACGAAAAAAAGATTGCATAATAGGTATATAATAATAATTACTTTAGGGGGGTGTAGTGGACGGGCGGATTGAGGCGTCGGTTCGAATCCCTGTCATGGGCAGCATCGCTTTCCGGGCAGTTCATGTTGTCTGGAAAGTGAGGCCGCCGCCCCCCACCCGGGAATGGCAGAAACCTACGAGTGTCCATTCGAAATTCTGCCAAAAACATCCACGAGTATCAAAAAACCAACAGTTCCCTCCCCGACAGTTCCTCGGGCTAATGGTCCTCACC